GAGGTGTGATGGGGAGACAGGTGTGATCCCAGGTGGGAGCTCATGGGAGCAGGTGGACCCTGGGGGTCTGAGGTGTGATGGGGAGACAGGTGTGACCTAGGTGGGGTGTCTTGGGGTGATGGGGGCAGGTGGTACTCAGGGAGATCAGAAACAGGTGGGTCTTGATTCTCATAACCTTGAGGGGGCCGTCAGCCTCTCAGGCCTGGTCTGCGAGGACACTGGCAGGTCCAGGGGGGTCATCATCTGGTCCTGCCCACAGGGCAGAGCCTCGGCTACGGGTTTGTGAACTACTCTGACCCCAACGATGCAGACAAAGCCATCAACACCCTCAATGGCCTCAAATTGCAGACGAAGACCATCAAGGTTCGTGCCCTCCTTCCCCACTGCTGCCCGTTCCCCGTTACTGTCCACCTGGGCTGCCCCCTTCACTGCCACCCATCCCCCGACTGCCACCATCCTCCCCACACACCCATCCCCCCACTGCCACCATCCTCCTCTATGGCTCATCCCCTAAGGGGTTCAGATGTCTCCCCCAAGGCTTCCTGGCTGGGCCCCCGGGGGCCAGTGGCTCTTCCTCTCTGAACCTCAGTTTCCGCATTTGTCATTGGGGAGAATATCAACCCCACATTCTCTGGTGGCTCAGGGCGGTACCCACCCCGTCGGTGGAGGAGCAGGAGAGAGTGACCAGGGTCCAGTGGGCAGCACCCCCACGCCTTTGTCATGGAAATGGGGGAGAGGTGGGGGCCCATCTGCCATCTGGAGCCTAATTAGGGTCTGAGAGGGTGGGATTAGGGGTGGGCCCTCCCCCATCTTTGTGCAATGCCCCTCCCCCCACGGCCTCCCTTCTCAGCAGCTGCAGCTGAGACCCTGCGAGCCCAGGTTCCCTGGGGGGGGATCGCCATGGAAACCCCCCTCTCCGGGTTCGCCTGGGGGTGTCTGGGCTCCGCCCCACAAATCTGCTCCCGAGCCCTGGGGGAGGCGGGGCTGTGGGAACCCATCTGGCCCCCAGTTCTCCATGGGAACAGAGGTGCAGGAATCTCCTCCTCTCTCTGCTGTGGGGGGAACGGGGTCATGACCTGATGGGTCCCTCCATGGCCCACTGGACCCAGAAGGCCCAGGGCATGAGAGTGGACCCTGGTGACAAACTAAGACCCAGAGGGCCACCGTGCATGTGTGATGGGGTGAGTGTGTGTGTGTGTGTGTGTGTGACCGTGGGCTGTGAGACAGTGTTTGTGGGACTCTGTGGCTATGAGAGCGGCTGTTGTCACACAGTTTTGGCTATGATGGACTCTGGGTGTCACCATGTGGGAACATGGTGTTTATTTGACAGGTGCTTGGTGACACACTGCGACTCCGGCTATGACCTGATGGGGCTGCGTGGGTGTGTCTGGCTGTGACAGGGTGTTTGTGTGTCACGGTGAAGTTGTGTGGGTGTGTCTACCTGGGCCCCATTCAGGGTGGAACACGTGTGATGTTGTGGGCTTGTGCAGTGGTGTGACAGGTGTGTGGTTCTGCGACTGTTACTGTAATTCTCCAAGACCCCTGAGTTGCCGTGAATGTGGCGGCGACCTGTGTTACCTTCCTGCTGGTGGAGTCACTGGGGCTGTGCAGCGAGTAGTGTGTGTGTGTGTATGTGTGTGTCTGTGTGGGTGACTGTCTGTGGTCCATCCCGACTGGGTGCTCCGGCAGATTCTGCCCCACAATATTTCCAGCCGCCCGCCATGTGCCAGGCCCCGTCCCGGTGAGGGGGTGTGGGGAGGCCACCTAGGTGAGGGACCAGGTCAGCCCACATCATGGAAGGTCGAGAAAGGCCCCTGAAGACCTACTCTGTGCCTCAGATGACTCCTGACCCCAAACACCCACCCAGGAGCTCAGACTCAAGTCCTCACCCCTCAGAGCTCACAACTGGAGACAAAAAAGGAGCACATACATGCCTGTGAGGTTTTATTATTATTCCAGAAATAACAGCAGCCGATGTGTTTGCCTTTTTTCTGGAGGACCCCAGGTGTGCACAGTCGCATTCATTAGAATCCCCCCACCCCCACCCCATGAGCACCCTCACCCTCAATCCCCCCCCACCGGCCCACTTAAAAAAGTAATATGCCCTCACTGCCCCGAATAAAAGCCAGACCCTTGACAATGACCTGTGTCTACCCAGAGGTTAATTTAGAAGAGATAGAAAATAGACATCAGCAGAAATCAGAAGAGGAGCTTATGACCCCTCCCTGCCCCCCCAGCTAGAGGTCACCCTGTTAGCATTTGGGGGGGGCCCTGCAGACCACGTTTCCCGGACATTGATAACACACAATGAGATGGGGTCACTCCTCGCTGCTCTGTAAATAGACTTTTCTTTCCCCCACCTTACAATACTCCCCACTGTTTCAGGGAAATAAATCTACGTGTCCACCATTTTTTAAACAGCTGCAGTTTCATTGTGGGGCTGGACCATAATTCATGACACAAATCGGATGATCATACTAAAACGTGTCTGACTCACAACTGGGAGAAGTGCTCTGAGAGAGAGTAATGGGGGTAGGGGTGGAGGACCAAATTCAGGTGGGTGAGGACAGGGAGGACATCTCAACTGAGACCTGGAGAAGACGCGAGAGGAGGGCAGTTCCAGGCAGAGGGAACAGCCAGTGCAAAGGCCCTGAGGCTGGAGCATGCCTGTGTGTTTGGGGAACATGGAGAAGGTCTGTGTGGCTGGAACAGAGCGATTGAGGGGGAAAGTGAGTGGACATGAGGGCAAAGGGATGATGGGGTAGGTCAGGCAGGGCCTTGTGGGCTATGGGGAGGATTTTAACTCCGAGGAAGGTGGGAGCCACAGAGGGTTCTGAGCAGAGGAGGGATGTGACCTGGCTCAGCTGCTCACAGACGCCCTCTGGCTGCTGTGGGGGAAACAGACTGTGGGGGACGAGGGTGGAGACGCTGCACTGGTCTGCGGTGAGCAATGGTGGGGGCTGGGCCAGGGTGTGGCGGTGGCAGTGGGGAGAAGAGTGTGGATTCTGGATACTGAGGAAGGCGGAGCCCCACAGGGTTGATGGTGGACTGGGTGTGAGTGCGAGAGAGGCCTCAAGGACGCCCCAAGGCTGGTGACCTGAGCACCCAGGACACACAGCTGCCGTTACTGAGTTGGGGCAAGTTAGGGGGCAGTTAAGAGCCGGATGCTGCCACGCTGAGTGTGACCCCCCACCAGACCCCCTCGTGGGGCCCCTGGAGGCCGGAGTCACACAGGTGCGCAGCTCGGGGGCGGGGCCCACACTGGGGATGGACATTTGGGAGTTGTCAGCTTTGAGCTGGTGGCTGAAGACCTGAGCGCCCCAGGGGCCCAGTGCAGAGGGGAAGAGAAGGGCCAGCGTCCCAGGCTCACTTCCTAAAGGAGCGGGACATGTCGACGTTGACGGAGTGTCCGGTGTGAGAGCGTGAGCTGGGGATGCGAGGGTCCCCAGGTCCCCAGGGAGACATGTGACCCCCCCCCCCCGGGGGCACTGCTTCTCTGGCCTCCTCAGGCGACAGGTCCCCCATCACTCTCTGTAGGCAGGGCCGCGTTGTCTCAGCCACGGCCATGTCCCCTCCCCCAAACCCTGGGCCCCCCCCCCCATGGTGACGACTCAAGAGAGATTTGTTGGGCCGGCCCGGTGGCACAAGCGGTTAAGTGCGCACTCCGCTGCGGTGGCCCGGGGTTCGCTGGTTCGGATCCCGGGCGCTCACTGATGCACCGCTTGGCAAGCCATGCTGTGACGGTGTCCCATATAAAGTGGAGGAAGATGGGCACAGATGTTAGTCCAGGGCCAGTCTTCCTCAGCAAAAAGAGGAGGATTGGCAGATGTTAGCTCAGGGCTGATCCTCCTCACACACACAAAAAAAAAAAAAAAGAGAGAGATTTGTTGAGCGAGCAGATTAGGCGTTTCTGCAACTCAGTGGTACCTTGGGTGTGGCCTCACTCTCCACGTCTGCGGCATGGGTCTTCCCCTCACCCCGTCCCTCTGACCCTCCCGCAGGTGTCCTACGCCAGACCCAGCTCTGCGTCCATCCGGGATGCCAACCTGTACGTCAGCGGGCTCCCCAAGACCATGAGCCAGAAAGAGATGGAGCAGCTCTTCTCCCAGTACGGCCGCATCATCACGTCCCGCATCCTGGTGGACCAGGTCACAGGTCAGGCTGCCGGGGAGGCCGCGTCCGGCGGGGCCCTGGCAGAGGCACCGAGGGGGGGCCAAATGTGGGGCCGCGCAGGAGTGGGGGGAGGGTCCTCACGACGCCCTGGCGCCCTGGCAGGTGTCTCTCGGGGTGTGGGCTTCATCCGCTTCGACAAGAGGATCGAGGCCGAGGAGGCCATCAAAGGACTGAACGGGCAGAAGCCGCTGGGTGCTGCCGAGCCCATCACGGTCAAGTTCGCCAACAACCCGAGTCAGAAGACGGGGCAGGCCCTGCTCACGCACCTCTACCAGTCCTCCGCTCGGCGCTACGCGGGGCCTCTGCACCACCAGACGCAGCGCTTCCGGTGAGCCCCTGCCCCTTGCCCCCTGGACATCCCAGACCCCCAGATCGGGGGCCCAAGGCTTGCCCACCCTCCTGAACCCCTTCCTGCAGGGCAGAGGGACACAGGGACAGTGCCCATACATGGGGGCTGCTGAGGGCAGCGAAGGGGAAATGCATGGGTCTATCAGGTGTTGAGGCCAGGCCCTTGTATACAGCAGGCACTCAATGTGTGCAGGGCACTGTGAGAGGCATTATGGGCATTAAGAGTTTTGACAGTCGCCTGATCGAGTCCAGCTCTGACTGTCCCCTTCTCTCTCGGGCACAAGGCTCCAGCTATCTGTGCCTCAGTTTCCCCATCCACATTTCATGAGTGCTTAATAACATGCCAGGCACACCTTTATTCTGCACAGCAACCTAATGAGAAGGGAGCTGTCTTGTCCCCATTTTAAGGACAGGACTCTGAGGCACAGAGAAGCACTGTCACCAGTCCAGCCCAGGCACAGTGGAGAAGAAACTCGAACCGTACCTTCTGGGGACCCGAGCCCTGCAGGGTGGGGGCAGGCGAGCAGGCCCGGCCGGCCGGGAGGGGGAGGACGAGGACGTGGGTGCAGGCCGGGCAGCGGCAGGGCAGGCGAGAGGCGGTGCCTGAGTGACCACGGTTCCGTGCCAGGCGGTGTCCAGCCGGGCGGGCAGCGGCGGGGGCAGGGCTGGCGCTGCTGGCCCGCGGGGTGGGGGCGGGGAGGGCAGGCAGCCGGCCGGCCGGCGTCACAGCTGGGGGCGTGCCCGAGGCCACCAGTGACCACTCCTTCTGCCTCCACAGGCTGGACAATTTGCTCAACATGGCCTATGGAGTCAAGAGGTAACAGTGCCCCCGCCCCGCTGTCCCCTCAGACCCTTCCCTGCTGCTCCCCGTCCCCGCCTCCCCCAGGACTGCCAGCGTCCACGGGTCTGCCAGTAGCACGGCCATTAAGAGACTTGGGGGCGATCGAGCCTAGTAAATATCTAGGAAGAGCTGCTACAAAATGTGGGTCGAGGGGCCTGTCTGTGCCCTCTTAGCCCAGTGGAAGGTGGCAGTGTTGCCTGGGATACAGCCGTGCCCCTGTTCCCACGTTAAGTCACCGAGTGCCACCGGCCACTGCTGATCGTCGTTGCTGAGGGTCACAGAATGCCACTCCCGTGGTCATTGTTACCGTTATTAAAGATCCCCGTCCAGCGGGGGAGGAGACAGAGAGATGCACAGCGATCACGGCCATGAGGGGGCAGGAGAAGGGGGACCGTCTGAGGTGACAGAGTGGAAGCCAAGTTCCTGGCAGTGGGAACAGCCTGTGCAAAGGCCAGGAGGAGGGAGCAAGCAGTTAGGCCCCAGAGCCCAGACTGAACGGGTCGGGCCCTCGGGGCCCCCTGAGTGGAGTGGAGCGGCAGGAAGGAAGGCAGCCGCTGAGCAGTGTGGGTGGAACTAGTTCTGTCCTTTCCTTCACTCATTCGCTCGACGCTCGACACGCCCCTCCCCGGTGCCTACTGTGTGCTGGGCTGTCCTGGGCTGGGGCAGCATGGGGAAGACAACTTGGCAGGGCAGAGGGAGCTGATGATAAATGTGTGACTGGAGCCACACAAGGCCAAGAGGGCAGAGGGAGGCGGGGGCCTCCTTCTGGGGCAGAGGAGGCCACCCTGAGGAGGTGACAGCTGGCTGAGACCTGAGCAACGGGAGGGAGGTGCTCGAATGGCTACACACATGTCCCGGCTCCCAGTGCCGCCCTTCCAGGGCCGGCCTCCAGGGGTGGCAGGGCGGTCAGGGGGGCAAATGAGACAGTGTTGTCAAGGGCCGGGTCACGGTGGGGTCAGAGCAGGGCGAGGGCAGGAGTGCGTGAGAAGATGTGCCAAGGTAAGGGTGGTGTCCATGGAGGGGGAAGGGGTCAGAGTGGACAGAGCTAAGGACCAGGTAGGGTCAAAGGTCATGGAGTCAGGGTGTAGACTGGGCTCTGGGCAGGATGAGGGGTGAGGGCCTCAGTTCAGGGAGGGTCAGAGGTCAGGACAGGGATACAGGTCAGGATGCAGTGGGGGGGCTGGTGTCTCAGAGCTGGGCAGAGGGTGTGGATTTCAGGTGGGGACACAGATGGAGGTCACGGGATGGTGGCAGGGTCCGGACAAGGCAGGGGTCCCCAGGTCACAGCCCAGCCCCAGGTCATGACAGTGTCAGGAGCCACAGGGGGATCGGGGGCATGCCAGGGGGTCAGGGCAGAGCCCGCGTGACCCCCAAAGTAGTCCCCTGTCGCTCATCGCCAGGTTCTCGCCCATCGCCATCGACGGCATGAGCGGCCTGGCGGGCGTGGGCCTGTCGGGGGGCGCGGCGGGTGCCGGCTGGTGCATCTTCGTGTACAACCTGTCGCCCGAGGCCGACGAGAGCGTGCTGTGGCAGCTCTTCGGGCCCTTCGGGGCGGTCACCAACGTCAAGGTCATCCGCGACTTCACCACCAACAAGTGTAAGGGCTTCGGCTTCGTCACCATGACCAACTACGACGAGGCGGCCATGGCCATCGCCAGCCTCAACGGCTACCGCCTGGGCGAGCGCGTGCTGCAGGTGTCCTTCAAGACGAGCAAACAGCACAAGGCCTGAGCCGCCCCACCCTCCCCGGGCAGCAGAGAGAGAGAGAGAGAGAAAGAGAGAGAGAGAGGGGCCCGAGAGAGACAGCGCAGGCAGACCACCGACGGACGAGGCCCCATGTCCCCGTGGGGGCCACAGGGTGAGCATGCGGGTCAGAGGGTCTGCAGGGAATGGGGGGTGCCTGGGGGTCCCCCACCCCGTCCTCCTGCCCCCCACACCCCAGGCTGGGCTGTTCACTCTCTCGTCTTGGTTTTGTTCATGGCGATGGCTTTTGTTTCTTTTTTCGGCTCACGAAAGCAGATGTGCCCCCACCGCACCCTCAACCTCCCTCCATCGGACGGCTTGGGGTGGTCGCTGGGGGTGCCCTCCCAGGCCCCCTTGCCCAGGCCTCCCCAACACCTAGGTGAGCCTGAGGGGAGCGGGGAACAGGTTTAAAAATCCCCAAAAGAGCGCAACGTGAGCAGGGATGAGGGCAGCCCCAGCCCAGAGCCCCCCTGGTGGGGGGGCGTGAGGAACAGGGGGAGGGGCTGGAAACAGAAACAAATTAAAAAAAAGGGGGGGGGTGGGAGGGGAAGAAAAACTCTATTTTTGTAAAAAGGGAAAAAAGACCTCGTGGAGAATTTTTACTGGGGATTCTTGAACTTGAAAAAAAAACACAAAAAAAGACAAAAAAAAAAAAAGAAAATATTTTGGCAGGTTATGTTTACCAACTGGGGCAGGGACGGGGAGCAGGACCTGGGAGCTGGGGGTCCTGGAGGCCACACGGAGAAACACAGCCACGCAAAGACACGCAGGGGCATGCACACGTGCACACACACCACAGGGACACGCTCCAGACACATCAGGAAATCACTGGCCAAACACATGGACAAACCTGGATGAACACAGGAGACCCAAGGATGGGGCGATGTAAACATACGTGGACGTGGGCAAAAGTGGCCACGGGTGGATGTGGCCGTGGACACAGGCACATGTGGCCGTGGGAACACTTCCACACATACACATGGACGCGTGTAAGGGGAGACAGATATATTTGGACACACAAATCTAGACACCCAGTCACGGAGAAACAGACACGCAACATCGAGGGACACAGACATGCCCATAGCATCCCCCAGGCCCAAGCGAGAGGTCGCAGCCCAGACCCCAGCCCAGTCCGCCTCCTCCAGCCAGGCCGGCCAGCCCCTCTCGCCCCTGCACCGGGGTCTCTGCAGAGCTCTCTCCTGGCTCATCGATGGTCCCTGCTGCCCACGAACACAGGCGTGCGAACACGGCATCCATGCACCCAGATACACAATACCTCGTTCCACTTTTGGCATCACAGTGGGCTGGAGGCAGCCCCCCCAACACTTGAGGCCAAAGGATCCCCGTCCCCGGGGCTGAGCCTCCCTGGGCCGAGCAGCAAGCCCCCCCGCTCCCCGCCAGGCCAGGGGTGGACGGGCCCAGGGGCCCAGCCCCACATCCCCTTCCCGTCCACCTGTGACCTATTTCAGTTTGTTGGGTTTTTGCGTCTTTCCAGATCAGTGAGGGCAGTGGACGCAGCCCCCAGCCCCGGCCCCGGCCCCGGCTTCTGTCTGGAACTTTCCATCCTCCTAGTTTTCATTCTTTGTAAAAAAAAAAAAAAAATTCCAACAGAAGCCAAAGGCCGGACCCCCAGGGGGGCCCTTGCAGCCCCCCCACTCCCGCAGCGGGCCCCATCAGACCTGAGAATCGCAAACCCCAATTCTCAGCTTTGGTCGCCCTTCCTCCGGTGTCCCCACGTTTGGTGTCGGGCCATGCCCCATCTGACTGCCCAGCTCTCTCTCCCCACCCCTCCCCGTGTTGTTATTAACCGTCTGTGGAGCTTCTGCTGCAAGGAACAAAAAGAAAAAAAAAAAAATCAAAAAAGCGACAAAAAAACACAAACAGAAGAGAAAAAAAAAGCGACACAAAAAGGAAGAAAAAAAAACAGAAGAGATTTTAAAAAAAAAGGAAAAAAAAAAGACATAAACTGGCACCAGTTAACTTTCTTGTACTTTTTTGCCGAATTTAGCTTCTTGTAGTTTTAACTTATTGCTATGTTAACTATTTATTCTTATTGTTGCTCTGTAAGGACATTTGTGTATATTTCTGTTCCTCCATCCAGTTTGCAAGTTTAAGGAACCACGATGTTCTTTGTTTCTTTAAGTTTTGCGGAGACGTGATTATGCCTAATTTATTTATAAGAGGGGAAGTGGAATCATTAAAGTAATAATAATTATTAATAACAGTAACGGTAGCCAAGCGGCACCCGGGGGGCGCGCGCGCTCTGCGGGGCGGTCCCCGCGCAGCCAGCGGCGTCCGGGGTCTCAATGGGATTATTTTTGCTCGTCTTGAGAATTTTTTCAGTCCTATTTAGCTGGTGAAAACCCTAGCTTGTTCTTGATACACGAACCTATTTATTCTTGTGGTTTTTAAGTCCTCTCAGATCTCCCCGCTCCCCTCCAGCAGGGCAGACCCCCGGGGGTCCATCCCTCTCCCTCTGCTGTTTCTGGGGTCTCTCTCCCCTCTGCCCTCCGCGCGCGGGGACACGTGTGCACACGTGGGCAGCGTGGCGGAGGCGTTTGTGAGCAATAAGGGCTGGGTTTGTCCCCCATCCTGGGGGGGGCCAGGCTCTGGAGAGGGGGCACCTCCCCAATCCCCCCCCCCCTGAGGCCCAGGCCCCTGCTACCCCCAAGACTGGGAGGGGATTTCTTTTTCTAAAACACAGAACTCAGCCCAGCCAGGCCCCCTTCCTGGAGGCGAGCCCCTCACCCCAGGGGAGGGGGCCTGGGGTCTTCCACATCGCTGGGGGCCAGGGCCAGGGCCGTGGGGAGGGGGGTCAGCCCCTCCAGCCCTCCCTTCATCTTATTTATTCGGAAGGTTTCCAATCAGAGTCCGTGTTGGAGGTGATAAAGAACTGTAAAAAAAAAAAAAAAAGACAAAAAAAAACACACAAAAACCCAAAACCCAACAAGAACACTTTGCGTTGCGTTTAGACTATTTATTACCGGGATTACAGGCCTGGCCGCGGTAACAGACTTTTACATGGAATTGTTTAATTATTTGTACTTTTCATGCCAGAAAATAAAAGTTCAGAATCTTACATCCTCGGGTGTCTGTGCACTGGTGTGCGAGGCATGTTGGAGTGTGTGCTGTGGGCCCTGGCTGTGTGGCCATGTGCAGGCTGCTGTCCCTCTCTGGGCCTGGGTCTCATCTGGAGCCCCTTCGCCTCCTCACAGCACACATGAGACTCAGGGCAGGTGGGAGACCAGACCAGGCGGAAAGCCAGAGGGAAATGTTCCAGGGTCCCTCTGTTCTTTGGTGCCGGACATCTCAGGTGTGAATCATCCCAGGTGTGAATCATCCCAGGTGTGACTCACCTCAGGTGTGAATCTGAGATGTGTGTGACTTGGGGTCTGATGAAGCCCCACCTGTGGAACCAGCCTGATGGTGGAGGAGGTCCTCACATGATCCGCTTCCCCTGCGTTCTACCCTCTGCCCCACCATGGCCCATTTCACACCCCAGCAAAGCAAGGCAGACACAGACCTTCGGGGGGATCACGTTTATTGTTTCGAGGTCACAGGTCAAGTCACTCGTCCCCACCAGGAGGGGAGGCAGATGCCCTGGGCAGGGGGCGAGGCGGGGGTGAGCCACCAGGGTGGGGACCCAGGGAGGGCCAGCTCCTTTATTCCATCTCTGGAGGTGGATGGGGCCTGGGAACATGGCTCTGCCCCCCTGGATCCCAGAGGGCAGGACACGGAGCCCCACACGGTTTCTGGCCCCTGGGGAGGGCAAGGAGACCCAGAGGAACAGGCCTTGGTCCACAGACTGAAGGGCGGGTGGCCGGCACTGCTGGGGCTGGTTCCATGCCTTGAGGTTCTGGGGCCAGAGAAAGAGCGAATGAGAAAGATGGAGATGGAGGGAGATGGGCGGGAGGGCAGCAGCCCCGGCAGACACCCACCTCTGCTCGGGGCAGGGCTAGAGCTCGTCGTGGTCGCCGTCGGCAGGTGGTTCGGGTGGCGGCTCTGGGCAGGCAGCCGGTGTCGTCAGCTCCATGAGGTACTCGCAGCGACTGGGCTCCGTAGTGCTGGTCACCGCCGTCTCCTTCCCGCACAGCAGGCGCACCTGGGGTGGGCTGGGGCTCAGGTGGGCTGGCTTGGGCCTGGGTCGCTCCCAGTGTCCCTCCCTGCCCGCCAGGCACTCACGGTGGTGGAGCGATTGGGGCCCTGCCAGCAGCCCGTGCCCTGATCGTACTTCATGGCGCTGAACTTGTCGTGCTCGGGGCCAGCCCACGAGCCCCAGGTGCTGCAGGAGAGCGGGGTGCTGAGGGGGGCCGGCTGGCGGGGCCAGGGGCTGGGGGAAAGGGGGCCTGGCCTAATAAGCCCACTCACCCGAGGTTGGTGGGGGAGCCGCCTAGCTTGGGTTTCTGGGAAACCAGCTTGAAGGGACAGAGCCGGTAGACGTACCTGTCACGAGATGGGGCTGGTGGGTGGGGGCCACGGGACCCCAGCCTCATCGAGGTCCCCACATACAGGAGGCTCACTGGCACCTCCGACTCCACTCACCGCCCCAAGGCCGCCCCCCCTCCTGGGGCCCTCCCCAGTGCCCCCACCGGCCCGCCTGTAGGGGACGCACTCGTTGGTGGCCAGCTCGTAGCACTGGCTGTACAGGTAGGCAAACTCCCCGTCGGGGCCAAAATCGAAGGAGATCTCCTGCTCCAGGTTCCTGCAAGGGAGTGCCGAGCAGTTCAGGAGACACCCCAGCCCGGCTCAGGACAACTCGGGGAGACCCACTCCAGCAGTGGCGGTGGAGGGCCGCATGGGGGCTGGGCTCCCCGCCCCTGGGGACACTCCCTGCAGGAGCCACGGCACCAGCGTTGCCTCGGCAACTCCCCATCACCGTCTCCTCCGGGGGCCCAGCAGCGGGTGGCTGCGGGGCAGGTGCAGCCGCGGCCAGACGCACGCCCCCATACCTGATAGACTCCTCCATTTCCCGCAGGGACCGCTCGGCCTCCTCAAACTTGCTGCGGGCCTCCTGGGCGGCTGGGGGAGCAGGGCGGGGGAGTCAGAGGGGCCCTACTGCCATCCAGGAAGACGGGAAAGGGGGTGCCACAGACACACCTGCTTCCCCGGCCTCCCAGGCCTGCTCTGAGCAAAGACTGGGCCCAGGAGGGCGCCATGGGCCCCGCCACCCCAAGGGCAGCCCCCAGCCCGCTGCCCAGGCTCTCGGCTCCCCAGGGAGCAGGAGCAGGACCAGGGCTCCCGGGGCCCAGCTGGCTCCTCGCCCGCCAGGGGTGGCACAAACAAGCGACAGCCTGAGAAGAGGAGGGAGGGCCTCTGGGGCTGGTGAGGGGGGTGCTGGCTTCCCCAGGCCCTAGACGCCCCCTCCAGGATATCCCAAGCGCCCCCAGGGCTTGCTCAGGGCCAGCCCAGGGGAGCAGTGGGGCCCACTTCTTGGCTGCAGGTGCAGGCGACGAGGGAGGGGGGTTAGGGCAGGGGCCCCTCCCCGCCAGGCCCGGCCCTCACCATTGATGAAGGCCTGCGTCTGCTCGTCGTAGGGTGGCATCGTGTCCTCCTCGCTGGGGCTGGCCGCCTGGGGGGGCACCAGTGGGGGCGGGGCCTCCTGGGGGAGGGGCACATCAGCAAGGGGCCCCACCCCCACCCCAGCACCCCCTTCTCCCCCAAACACACACCTTGGGCTGCTCCCCCTGCCCCTGGGTATCCTCCTCCTCCTCCTCCTCCTCCTCTTCCTCGTCCTCTTCGTCTTCCTCGTCCTCCGTGGGCGGCAAGGGCACCGGGGGCTGCTCCTCCTCGGGCTCCATCAGCTCAGGTGTGGAAGGCGCCGGTGGCTCAGTGGGCAGCGCCTGACGGGCCAGCGGGGGGCTCAGCGCCGTGGACTCGGGGTCCACCCCCACCCCTGGGGCTCAGGTCTACACTCACACCATCGCCCAAGGGGAAGGCTCCCTGTCTCCGCCCCTTCCGAGGGGCCTGGAGGGAGGGAGCTTCCGAAGCTGGGGGTGGGGGCCCCGGTGGAGGATGCTGGGGTCACCCAGCCAGCCAGGGTGGCCGGATGCCAGAACTGGAGGCGGTTCCTTTGTGAGGCGAGGGGGGCAGGGCGAGGGGGGCTGAGCATATCCCCTCCCTGCCCCCCACTGACCTCGGACCGGTACTTGTCCCTGATGGCAGCCCAGACGCGGTCATAGAAGGCGGCGGCATCCGTCTGCGCGTCTCCCCCGAGGAGGGCCTGTGCGTCGGGGTGGTGTCGGCATCAGGGCCTCCACGTGGCCCCTGCGCCCCGGGCCCTCTCGACGGGGGCTGAGGCTGCGGTGCCAGGCACCAGCATGCCCTGCCCGCCCACGGCCAGGCTGGGTGAGGCCCAGCAGCCAGAAGGGGGCAGCACAGGCCTGCGGGACAGGGAGGGACGCAGCAGGGGAAGCGATGCACAGAGGGACTGAGGAGCAGGGATCCAGGGAGCCGAAGGCCTGCACGTGAGGAGGGGGAATTGGGGACACACACCTAGGGGAGCACTGAGGGCATGTGGGTGGAAAACCGGGCTCTCTCCCCATGAGACGCCCCTGCGGCACCCGCGTGACCCCACCAGGCCCCAGAGGGCAGAGAGAAGTGGCACCGGGCAGCTGCCCTCCTGGCTCACCCAGGCGAGGCCGGGCCGATGGGTCACGCCAGGCGCCCCAGCAGCCCTGACCGGGGCCAGCGGGGAGCTTTCCAGGGGAGCCGCCCGCAGCCAGCCTGTCTCCTACCGCCTGGCCCTGAGGTCACCTGGGGCAATCCTTCTAGAAGTCTCAGGCCAAGGGGCAGAGGGGGTACCTGGGCCTCCCCTTCTGACAGCGCCCCATCCCCATCCGTGTCCAGCTCCGGGTGTGTCTGCAGCTCAGTCACCGAGACCCTGCCGGGGAGCAGGCAGAGGCCGACGGAGGGGTGAGGCCCGCTGGGTGCTGGCCAGCTGCCCGCTCCCCCTGCCAGCCCCCCCCGCAGGACTTGGTGGCAGGAAGTTGGGAGAAGGGGGCTCTGGGGTTGGGCCCCCCAGCCTCCACTCTGGGGAGGAGCAGGTCCCGGTCATCCAGTCCCCTGCCTCCCACCCCTCCTGAGGTCTCCTGAAGGGGCTCAAAGGAGGGAGGGAGACAGGGGTGGGATTAAGAGACACTGGGACCCTCCCTGCGTCCCCCAAGACCCCCTCTCCTCCCAACCCAGCCAGCTTCCACTTCCTTCCACCCTCAGAACCCAACACATGGAAGCTGCCCTCTGCCTGGCACCCTTCACCCAACAAAGCCCAGATACGCACGATGGCCTGGGCACCACATCCTGCCCCCCACCCGTCACCATCGCCATGTGGGGGGTGACCCACCCTGCCCCTTCTGCCCCCTGGGCCCCTCTGAAGTCCCTGGCCCCTCACCACCCCACACCTCCCACCAGGGGGTACCCAGCCTCCTCCTTCCCAATGGCCCACCCTCAACTGAGCCGCGTGCGGGGGCTCAGCCAACAAGGTCAGGGACACAGCCGGGATGCAAAGCAGGTCTGGCTTTCACCAAAGTGTCCCAGGCCACAGAACAGGCCTGGGAAAAGCAGTGGGGTCTCCTGTCACCTCGTGCAGCTCCTTGGGAGGAGGGACCCCAGCTCCTCGACTTCCCCAGCTCCTCCCCAGGCCGTTTTGGACCCATTTCACACGTGAGTGAGCAGAGGCTCGCTCAGAGAGGGCTTGGGCCCAGCTCAGGCCCCAGCAATGGGGTGGGGCTCTGGCTGGTTTCTGAAGGTAGGGGTAGGGGGTGGGAGGAGGGACCCCAGGCCCACGGCAGCACGGGCTAACTCACGCCCCATCCATGTCGTCGTCCAGCTCCTGGAAGGCGTCGGCCGCCAGCTCCTGCTCCCGCTGGGCCTTGGAGGCGGCCTGCTGCTCTGTGGAGGGGTCAGCTCTGTCACCCTCCGCCCTGCGCGCCGGTCCCCGCCACCCCGGCCCTGCCCTCCCCCAGCACCCCACGGGGCCCTGTGCTGGGCGCTGGGGCCCTGAGTCAGGCCACTGTGGGGACAGACTGGGGGCGGGATGATAAGGGCTGCCCAGGGCGGGGGCCGAGGAGGAGGCGAGAAGTGGGGAGATTCTGAGGGGGAGCTGACGGGGTCTGCAGATGGGGGGCACCAAGGACACCCCTGCAACTTCTGGTTTGAACAGGTGGGGGCTGGCAGAGACCGTATGAGGGGCAGGCAGGGGACCACGCATGAGGTTTGGGAGGCCCCCACGACAAGAGCAAGCACCCCGCCAGGCTCGCTCTCCAACATGAAGGAGATCAGGGCCCGGAGACTGGGGTGGGAGTGCGGCCAGGCGAGGGGGCTCCCCGGGGCTCCAGGGGAGGGTCTCAGGAGAGGGGGGGCCAGCTGCACAGAAGGGAACTGATGGTATCTCCTCGGCCTGCCTCATCCCCACTGGGATGAAAGGGAAGCATCCACCAGTGCAGCTCCAATTATTAAGCTCCTACTGTATACCAGGCCTCAGCTAGGCCCCCTATAACAGGACCAGGTGTGACAAATGGCGTGCCCTCTGCCACGCCGTGGGTCACCCTGGGAGATCCCACAATGCCCCAGCAGACCCGGCTGACACTGTGCCTCTCTCAGATGACGGCATCAGGCTCGGCCGGGTGAAGGGAGCTGCCTACGGTCACCCGGCTGGCAAGGGGCAGAGCCGGGGGCCCAAGCCGGGCCACCAGCCTCCAGAGCCCATGCTCGTCCCCGCTGCCCTTGGGGAATCGGGGTCAAAATGTGGTGTGCGGCCTCCGATTCAGCAAGTCCACATGAGGACACGTGCCAAGGGAACCCAGGCGTGAGGCTGCCCAGGCCCATGTGCAAGGATGTGCAAAATGAGGGAAACAGAGGCAAAGACAAGACGAGTGAATTCACTCCCTAAAACACAGCCGGCAAAGAGCACCAAGAACTCAGCACCCAAGATGAACAGTGAGAAGGGAGAAAGCATTCACGACTTAAGTCACACAGGGCCGACCCTCTCATATATAAAGAGCACTTAGAAATGATGAAAACAAAACCCCCAAAACCTGACAGAAAAAATGGTAACTGGATAAAATAAATCCTGCTAGAATTATGCAGTGGTATATACACAGCTGTTAAAAGTGAGGTCCTGACACAAGCTACCACACGGTGACCCTCAAAAATGTTATGCTCAGTGAAAGAAGCCAGACACAAAAGGCCACATAAATGTATGGTTCCATTTATGTAAAATGTCTTTTTTTTTTTTAAAGATTTTATTTATTTATTTATTTTTCTCCCCAAAGCCCCAGCAGATAGCTGTATGTCACAGCTGCACATCCTTGCTGTATGTGGGACGCGGCCTCAGCATGGCCGGAGAAGCGGCGCGTCAGTGCGCGCCCAGGATCCGAACCCCGGCCGCCAGCAGCAGAGCGCACGCACTTAACCGCTAAGCCATGGTGCTGGCCCCATAAAATGTCTTTTATACAATGTTATAAACCAATGTTACTGCAATAAACAAAATTAAAAAAAAAAAATAGCTAAAAAAAACCTCACATAGACATTTAAAAAAATTAATTAATTAAAAAAATTAAAAAATAAAATGTCTACAATAGGCAAATCCATAGAGACAGAAAGTAGATGACTGGTTGCCGGGGGCTGGGGGAGGTGGTGGAGGGTGGGGAGTAACTGCTTAATTGGCAAGAGGTTCCCTTTTGGGGGGATTGGAATGTTCTGGAACTACATAGTGGGGATGGTTGCACAACACTGTGAATGTACTTAATGCTACTGAATTGTACACTTTAAAATGCTTGAAATGGTAAATTGTATGTTACGTGGGTTTTACCACAGTAAGAAAAGAATGAAAGATTAAAAAAAAAAAGGAAATTAGGTACATAGGACATAGCACAACACTCATATACTGTGTAGACCAGTGCTGTCCAATAGAACTTTCTAGAACGACAGACATGTTCTACACCTGCGCTGTCCAAAACAACAGCCACCAGCTACATGTGGCCACCAAGTGCTTGAAATGTGGCTTTAGAGGCGACACTGGGAGTTACCAAGCTCTGCAGAATCGCATCTCTGTCTGGGACAGGCAAGAAAGGTCTGGAAGGTTTCAGACCTCTTGCATAGAGGTTAGCCTGGAGGAAAAGACTCTCCCTTTCTACCTTATTACCTTCTAGATTGCTATATAAAAAAACATTCTGGGCCAGACCCCGTGGCCTAGTGGTTAAGTTCAGCATGCTCTGCTTCGGCGGCCCGGGTTGGGTTCCCTGGCGCAGACCTACACCCCTCGTCTGCCATGCTGTGGCAGTGGCTCACATACGAAAAAAAGAGAGGAAGATTGGCAATGGATGTTAGCTCAGGTGAACCTTCCTCAGCAAAAGAAAAAAAAAAAGTTCTTTTTAATGGAGAATATGGAAATCAGATGGAATATTTAAAATCAGATGGAAACTAGGAATAAACAGAGCAGACAACTCCCAGTCTCCTTTCAAGGCCCCCGTCACATCCCACATCTCTTGTACCCCTGATGATCTGACCTTGGAATGAACCACCCTTAAAAGTCCAAGCTGGGAAACCCCAATGCTTGGCCCTGGATGAGTCTGCTCTGGTCACCAGTTACTCAGTCCAAAACCCAGGAAGGCAGAGCACAGCAGGAGCGACAGGACCATGGGGAAGGAAGGCAATCTGTTCCAGCGAACTCCCCCACCTGTTTACAACTTCCCCTCCTCCATTTCCCTTGGGGCGTGGCAGGGTTGTTCCCATCTCCCGCCTCCAGGGATGGGCATGTATCCCAGGCCTGGCCAATCAGAGCCTGCACTGTACCCCCTGGCCCAAGGCATTGGTTCATGGATGGCCATGTGACCTGGGACAAGCCAATGGGAGCCTGCCCTGGGATTTGTGCTGGGGCCTCTGGGAACGTGGTACTCTCTACCCGCTGGGGCTGCTGAGGTAGGAGATAAGCTGGGCTGCCTGTGATCGTGCTGGCACAGGTGGGCAGAGCCCAGAGGTGGAGGGAGGACTCAAGCCATCCCAGGAGTCCTGCGTCCCGCTGGGCCGGAAGCTTCCACTTTTCATGAAGTGGGTTCAAGTTGGGTTTTTGTCACGTGTGACCAGAAGGGCCCTGATCTCTAGGGGGGAGCTGGAAAATCTTTGTGGAGGCAGTGACATCCGAGGGGTTGGGGCACAGCGGGACTGACTCACTGATGTGCCACTCCCATTTAACAGTGAGCGTGGGGCAGCGGAACGGGGCCTCATGTGTCACCGCTGAGTGCTCAGCACTGGGCCTGGAGCCCAACAGACACCTCTCTATTTGCAGTGGGAACAGCTGGAGCAGAATCCTGGGAGCAATAGAGAGCGGTATGTTTGCGGGAAATGGCCATCAGACCGACGTGACGAGGCACAGGGCAGGCAGAAGCACTCGGCCGGCAGGGGGCATCATAACCAGGCAGCGGAGGCCCCGAATGCCATCCCTCCCAAGGCACTGGGGAGCCAGGAAGGCTGCTGGGCAGAAGAATGGCGCGGTGGAGGAGGCCAGAAGGGTGATGCACGGCTCTGAGCGAGACAGTAACAGACGGGTGACTCGAGTCTGTGTTTAAGGGACCAGGTCTGTGAACTTACTTGCTACACCCCCAGGCTGGCCCCACAATAAAACTTTATTGATACAAGCAGGCAGGGGGCCAGATCAGACCCGTGGGCTGCAGCTGGCCCTCGGGCCGTAGTTTGCCAACTCCTGGTCTCTATGTTTATTTAATTCTGGCAGCGTCACTCAGAGGAGGGAAGAAGGGTTGGAGGATGAGGGGGCTGACCTGGTGAGTCTGGGGTCCCTGTGGGACATCCAGAGGCAGGTATGTTCAGGGACGGTTGGGTTTCCGGGTGGAGAACCGAAGAGGAGAGAAGATAAAGGTCAGAGTCCCAGCCCCGAAGAGGCCCCAGGGTCTTGGGCCCACTGAGCAGATGGAGTAGAGTGTGGGCCGCCAGGAGATAGGGCAGGAAGACCCCCGCATGGAGCAGTGGCTTCCATGAAGGAGGAGGAGAAAAAGCTCACAGACTCCAGAAAGGGCCCTGGGGAAATCCGGGCCTCAGAAGCCAGGAGAACAAGGGGGTTTAGGAAGCCAGGCTCCCTAAGGATGAAGGGAGACAAGAGGCCCCAGGGAGTGGGAGATGGTAGACATCAGGGCCTGGGGGTAGAACGGCCTCTGCCAAGGAGGGAAGGAAGAGGGGAGGGGAGTCTGTGAGGTACCCCCGCCCAACGGGGCCACTGGGATTCTGAACGGGGAGCCTGTCTGCTCACTTGCCTCAGGGCTGGGGGAGGGCGGGCAGGGAGAGCTTCACTCAGCCTTCAGCTTGTATCCAGAATCCGCCCACCTCTCTCCACCTCCAGAGCCCCCACCCTGGTCCCAGCCCCCTCCTCACTTGCCTGGACCAGTGCAGGAAGCTCCTCCCTGGTTTCCCGGCTTCTGTCCCTCCTCTGCTCAGAACCCTCTATGGCTCCCATCTTACATGGGGTAAAAGTGCAAGTCCTCCCCGTGGTCCCTGAGGCCCTGCACGGCCGACCCCATGGGCACCTGCTCTTGTATCCCCCACCCACTCTCCTTGCTCACTCCCACCAGCCACACTCCTCCTTGCTGTTCCTAAAAGCCAGACGTGCTGCTGCCTCAGGCCCTTTGCACCTATTCCCCCTGCCTGGTGCCCCCTCCCTCTGCAGGCAGTGGGCTTTCTCCGTCTCATTCAATGCTGTATTGCTGGAACCTGGGGTGTGCATGGCACAGCAGGTGCTCACGAGTGAATGACTTAATTACTGGTTATGAGAAACGAGGGAGGGCCCATTGGCAGAGAGAGGCAGGGAGGGAAGGAAACACACAGCAGTGCCCAGAGAGACCAAGGAGATCAACAACATGGCCTCGGGGGGCTGCCCAGTTCCTGGTTACCAGCCACGCAAGCAGCTAGGGCCACACCTCCAAACCCTCCCAGCAACGCTGCGTCCTTCAAGGAGTCTGGAGTGCATTTCTGCCCCACCTCTCCCTCCCATGCTGCTTGCGCGGCACGTCCCCCACCTCGCAGACTGAGAACGAGGACCAAGGTTTCAGAATCCCCGTAATGGCAGCACGACCTGCCAACAGCCAGCAAACGCGGGACACAGCGTAAAAAGTCATCTTAAAACCAGCCACGGCAACAGGAATTGCAGGCAAAGAGGAACTCGGGAAGGAAAGAGAAGGGGGAAGCTGCTTCCGCCCTGAGGGACTCTGCCAATCCTGGCCAATGTGGATGCCTGTTCTGATGACAACTTGTGAGGCGAGGGAGACGGAAATCGAAGTCCAAGGTGAGGGGAATAATAGCATAACCATCCCCCCTGAAACTAAGCTGGGAGCCCAGGAGGCTGTCCCCGCAGAGACAGCCTGGACCAGAAATCACGCAGCCTGTGCTCGGATCTCAGCTCACGCTGCCTGAGAGGCTGGAGGAACCTCAGCCCTGAATTGGGATTCGGGGCATCCCCAAGTGGTAGCGCTGCCACGCGGCTGGCAGAAAGAAAAGCCCTTCGTCTCTAGAGAAGCACGTCTCATCCTAGGCTGCAAGTTATTCCCGTAAATGACTGTCAAACATGATGACCAACACACAGTCAAAGATAACTAGGCACGCGGAGAGCTGAGGCATCGTGATCAACAGTCGGCGGAGACAACAGACAATAGACAACAGGCAGTCTCCTGGGCCCACCCAGCGAGGAGCCAAGGCGGGTCACGCCACCCCGTCACCTACCTTCCCACAGCTTCCGGTGCTGGTCTTTGGCCTCCTTCTCTGGCTTCTCGGCCTCCTCCTTCACCGTCCGCAGCATCTCCACCTGGTCCTCCAGGGATTTCTTTCCGTCCTGTAGCTCGAGGAGCTTTTTCTGGGTGGGCAGAAGGCAAGGGGCCAGCTCTCCTTCTGTTCTGCCTTTTTCCTCACCAGCTGTCACCTCCCTGCCTCTACTCCACAGGGTGGCTGTGGGATTTCCCAAAACACACACCTCCGTGGGTCTCCCCCCTGCTGTGGTTCCCCACGATCCACTGGAGAAAAACCCAAACCCCTCGATGCAGCCCCCGAGGCCCTGCGTGGCCAGGCCCCTGCCCACCTCCCCAGCCCCCTCTGCCCCATTGCTATTTTAAACTCGAGGATCCAAGTGCTCCGACATTCAGACCCCCACTCTGCCTCCAGTTCTTCACACAGGCTTTCCTCCTCTCTAAAACACTCTGCCTGGCTAACTATGAATTACCCTACAGATTTCAGCCTAGATAGATGCCTCCTCCTCCAGGAAGTCTTCCCTGCTTCCTGCTCTGAAGATGGGTGGTGGGAACAGGGGGACTGGACAACAGTCTCCCTATGCCTCACAGCCCCAAATGTCCCTTTTCTTAAAAACTCTGGGCGTCACTCTGTCTGTCCCTCACTCTAGACAACATGCCCGAGGCAGTTCCAGGTCTGCCTCCAGCCTCATGCCCGGTGCACGGCACATCCCGGGCCTCGGTGGACATTTCAAGAAGAAACGAGCGTGTTGGGCTCCAGCCTAGGGAGCCGGCCCCAAGCTGTAGGGTCTCAGGCCAGCCCCCATGGGATCACTTTTCTCCCAAGACCTTGGCTGACACCTCAGCCTGGCCTGCTTCCCGAATCCTCCGACCTCCTCAGAAGGGCAAAGGTCACTTGGAGCCAACTGCACCACATGGCTCCCCCACTATCCCCTGAACTCAGGAAGGATCTCACTGCCTTCCGAACCTAGGAGGGGCCTCAATGCCCCGTAAATTCGGAACAGACCTCACTAGCCAGGCCGTGGGGGTGGGAGAGAAAGATCTGGAACCTGCCATGGGCAAAGAAACAGAGCTGGAGCCTTTGCTCAGTGGGTCGGGCAGGAGCCCAAGAGCAGCGTTGAAGGGCTGTCTACCCCTTCAGACTGCCAAGAAGGTGGCGGGCAAGGGAAGGAGAGACACACCCCTGGGGACACATCCTCCTCCACCCCACCCCCACCCCACTGAACTAACCCAGCTGCTGCTGACACCGTCCTGAGTCCTCCCCCGGAACCGGGGAGTCATACAGTCATTGGCCCATCTTACAGACCACAGAACCACAGAGCCGGGATGCAGAGGGGCATCCCTCCTGTTCTAGAAGGCAGCAGGGCTCCCCCAAGCCACTTTAGTCTGCTGCCCAAGGCTCTGGTTAACCCACGACTAAACGCCCAGTGGACAGATGAGTAAACCGAGGCACAGAGACAGTAACTGGCCCCAGGACACCACTAGTCAGGAGCAGATGTAAACCGGGCCCGGCCTCGCCAGCCCATGCTCCAGATCGTGCTGGGTGGCCCCCCCCGGCCCTCACCTGCTTCTCTTCCCTGGCCTTCTTCCAGTCCTCAATCAGGATCTTCTTCAGGCGGAAGCCCTCGCGGGTAACTTCTGCCATCTGCTGCAGGGTCTCTCTCTCCTTCCGGCCCTTCTCTCTGGGGTGGGGGTGCGATCAGGGGCAGTGAGGGCCCACCAGGTCGGCCTCCTCCAAAGGGGCTCAACTCACTGTTGCCGCCGCCCTCGGGTTGGGAAAGAGAAACAGCAACCTCTCCTCCCCCCACCTCCCTAGGCTCTCTTGGTCTCAGAGGCCCTCATCGCTGTCCTGGGAGGAGGGACAGTGGGCAGGGTTCACCCACCTTCGGGGTCAGGGGAGGGACTAAGAATGCTGGGATGTGGGGCTGGAAGTCAGCTCCCAAGAAAGAAAAGAGAGAAACATAGAGAAGTCAAGACTCCTAGACAAAAAGCAATCTGGCCAGTAAGCACGTCATGCTCGATCCATCTTCTACTTAAAAGATCTTAGATCCGGAGGGTTCACGTAAGTATCACCGTTTTCGCCTTCTTTGAAAAACGAATCTGGCCCTGCCACCTGCCATCAACTCACAGGAGTCGAGGGCAGCTGTCCCTTCACATGCCACAATCCCCACCACTCCCTACTGCCTCCTACTCCACCCACTTCTGCTGTTTAGATTACCTGCCTGTGGGTGTTTCAGTTTTCAGAGTGCACCTATTAAAAGCACAGAGTCTCAGGTTTGACGGACCTGGGTTTGTATCCCGGCTCTTCTAGCTCTTAGCTATGTGACCCTCGGAAAGTCGTTTTCCTTTCTAAACTTGAGTTTCCTTATCTGTTGAGTAGGGAAACAATTGCACCTGCTTCCCAGGGAAAGCTGGTGATGTGGCGCTCATAAGGTGCCTGGCACTGAGTGAGTACTTGATACACAGAAGTAGAAGAGAAGGGGCCTGATTCACTGGGTGGGGCGAGGCAAGGTCCTGGGGTAGGTGTCACCACGTACTTGCAGGTGTTCTCACAGACGGTCCCGCTGTTGTACTCGTCGGTCCCATCACAACAATCTGAAGGCAGAGGTGGGGGCACAGTCAGACCCCGCCATCCCTCCTCCCTCCACCCACTGTCTCTTTCCCCAACCCTGGGTGCGATCTTATTCACCGCAAACTCCATCGTTGACCCATCTGGAGGGGATGTACAGGGGCTTGTAGCCAGTGTTGGTGCAGTGGAAGCTGCCGTTAGGACAGGCAGCTGTGCCTGTGGGGAAGAAGGGAGGAAGGGTTTGCGGAGTGTGCTCAGGAGATGGCTGCAAACTCAGGACCTGAAACAGAAAGTTCCAGTGCTGCCCCCTGCCCGTCCCCACGGAGGCCCTCAGCACAGGGACCTGGCAACTGCTCCCTCCCTTGCCTTCACCTCTGCTTCTGTCTGCCCTTCAGCCCCACCTTCTCTCCCACCTCTGGGCGTTGGCACACCTGGCCCCTCCATTGGCATTTGGGATTCCGCGGAGACCTCACCTCCTCACCCCAGGCTGGGTGGGGCCTCTCTGGGCCCCACAGTGCCTGCCACTCTCCTCACGAAACCACTGACCACTCGTTTCTGTGCCTGCTTCCCTCGACTCAACAGGGAGCCACGCGAAGGCAGGATTGGGTCTATCTGACCGCACAGGACCTGGTCATTTAGTGTATGAGGGACAAACGAATGAGTGAACGGAGAAAAAGCTCACCGGGCTCATCCGAGCCATCCTTGCAGTCACAGTAGTCATCGTTGACCTGATCAAAGGAGATGGTGGCCGAGCCATCCAGGCAAGTGAAAGGCTTGGACTCGTCGTAGAAGTGATGGTCTGGGGAGGGGGACAAGGGGCTCAGCTCAGGGCAGGAAGAAGCCCTCTCAACAGGACAGCACCTCTGCCCCCCACCAGCTGAGCACTGCCACCTTCCCCAACCAGAGGTGGGGAAACTGAGGCAGAAGGCCGTAACTGCCCGTCCAGGGGCCCTCCCACACCCCACCACCACCTCCAGGGACCTCCAGCGGCGGACTCACTGGTCAGGGAGACGCCCCGGGGCCGCTTGACCTCCACGGCCCAGCACACGGGCAGCAGCAGCAGCAACAGTAACATCTCGCCGGAGGCTCGGAAGCCGGAAACGGGTTCTGTGGGAGGAAGCAGGTGCGGGGAGAGGTGCTGGGTCCCCACGCCGCAGCAAGAAGGGGCGCCGGTCAGGGCAGAGAGCTACTGCCAGCCAAAGAAGGCTCCCCTTCCTCCAGCCAATTGCATTCCTCCATCGCTTCCGGGCAATCAGGGCTCACTCTGCTTCCCATATCGGGGGGTCTCCCCAATCCTGCCCAGTGGAGGGGAGTCCCACTTTGCTCCTATCAATGGCGGGGATCTCAAAACCTCTGCTTCCTATGGGGCAGGGGGTGAGCTATCCAATTCCCGCCAATAGGCCGAAGGGCTTAACAGTCTCCCCCTCTCCCGACGCACACCCTCCGGCTGCCCCCCACAGGAAACTAGGATGCCCTCCCGCCCGCTGGTTCATCACTTACACGCGGCCGGGGCAAAGGTCAAGATCCACCGCGCCCCCGGGCCCAGAAGCAAACGGTGCCTCCTGCAGAAAGAAAGCGGAAATGTGTGGATGCGTCACTTCCGGCGTCGCGCTGCGCACTCGGAACGGCGGCTCGGGGCCGCCATGTTGGGAGTGGCAAATGGGGGTGTGCCGGAACTGAGGCGGCCATCTTGGATGGGACCGTGAAGCCTTCCAGGGGCTAGTTCGGAAGGTTCGCGCTTAATGGCGGCGCAAGGTGCCTCCATCTTGGGAGTGGCGGGTTCTGCAGCCGGAAAAGAAAGTTCCTGAAAAATGCCCGGGAACTCCCGGCGGAGTTGGGGAGGAAACGGGATGGCCACGTGAGCCAAAGTATCCACTCCGCCACCATCCCGTTGCGCGATCTGCCCCGCCCCCTGTGGGACCGCCCCTCCGCGCAGCGTCAGCCAATGAGAGCGGTGCTGTGGAACGCGGGCGGTTTCCATGGGAGCGCTGGAGGGAGGAGGGGGAGGAGGTTACCTAGCAACCGGGAGATGCTGTGAGGCCCCGCCAAGCGGTCGGAAAGTGCATTCCCAGAGTCCGACGCTGACGGATCCCGGACAGGGGCGATTCCTAGTCGCCCCCCTAATTCCCAGGGGCCCTCGGCCCCAACCCAATCATGACGTCTCCCTTGTGCAGGGCGGCCTCCGCCCACGCCCTACCTGTTCAAGGCCAGACTTCGACCGCCTCCACGGTCAAGGGTAGTCAGGCTCAGGCCAAGCACCGTCACCCGCGAGGCACTGCTGCAGCACAGGCCTGGCCCCCACTCCATTCCAAGGCGAAACCCCTCCACGCCAGCGGAGGGAAGTCCGCTCTGCAGGCGCAGGTGGCTGAGTTACAAAGGAAGATACAACTGTTAGGTAAGATGGCTCCAGAGGGCACAGAAGGGTCAAGAGTCAATTGTCCACTCAGCCCTCTGACCAGGCATGGTGTGACAAGGGCGTTTCACCGGGTTTCCTCCGGGTGGCCAGTTTCTGGAGGCAAAAACTCATACTTGTTCCTGGTTTTCCTCATCTCTCATAAAACTTTTTCTGGGCTCAGAACGAACTGGACTGTATTTCATACTTTTGCGTAATTTCAACTCTTCTATCATCCATGGCGTGGTGAAGAACACCGATTCTAGAGGCAGATTTTCTAGGCTCAAATCCTGGCTCTGCATATTCTAATTGTTTGATCTTGGGGGACTGAGAGTAACCTAATTGCTCTCAGTTTCTCCATCTGTAAAATGGGGATAGTAACAGTACAACCCCATAGGTAGTTGAAACGTGTAAAGTTCTTAGAACAGTGCCTGGCACATACTAAAGCAGTATCAAGTGTAAACCAGTGGTTCTCAATGGAAGAGGGCTGTTTTGCTCCCCAGGGAATGTTCAGCAGTGTCTGAAGACATTTTTGGTTGTTATATTGTTGGGAGGGGGGTCTACTGGCATCTAGTGGGTAGAGGCCAGAGACGCTGCTCAGCATTTTACGATGCACAGAACAGCCCACCACAGCAAATAATTATGCATCCCAAATGTCAGTCATGCCAAGGTTGGGAAATCCTGGTGTAAAGCATTATTGTTATTTTTGTTTTATTATTATTAGGACGTAATCTTTCATAGTGTTTGAAGTATGGGCTCGGGAGTCAGACTGCTTGTGACCTTGAACAATCTAATAAGCCTCAGTCTTCTCATCTGTAATATGGGTATGATACGTATATGGATTTGCACCTATTGACATACGGTATTTGATACCTGGAAAGTTCTTAGTCTGGCATCCAACACAAAATAAATGCTGAGAGTGAAGTATTGTTAGAATATTAAGTTGATGATTACCAAAAGGTCTTCCCTCTGGGAAGTCCCCCCGCCCCTGCCCCCGGTTGACACTCTGGTCGTCTGCCAGAGGGTGACCGGAAGGCCTTCTATGAGAGCACCCAGTGGACCATGAAAAAGAATCAGGAGATCATCAACCAGCTCCGAGAGGAGACCCGGGAGCTGCAACTCCAGCTGACGGACCTGCTTCAGGTGAGGATGCACAAGTGGGTGAAGAGGTTCCAGGTCGGGGGCAGCATCCCTGGGGGCAGCGTCCCCAGGGGCGGGGCGCCACCTCAGCTCGAGGTGGCCTGGATGAGTGGTGACGGGGCTCTTCTTGCAGGGAGATGAGAAGGTGGTCCAGGCGGTGATTCGGGAGTGGAAGGCCGAGAAGCCGTACCTGAAGAACAGGACAGGCCAGGTTTGCCTCTCCCCCACTCCACGGACCTTGCTGCTTCCTTTCCAGCCTGGGTCCCCATCCCAAGGGGCTCCCTGCCTCCCATCCCACCCGCTCCAACCCTTTCTCCACACCCGCCGCCGTTCATTGATTCATTCCATTAATCTTTAATCATGCACTGACTGTGTGCCTGGTGTGATATTAGCTGTTGGGGACCAGGCTGTGAAAAAAACAGACCAAGTCCCCACTCCCCAAAACCCCATATCCTAGTGGAGAAAACAGACCAAAAAAATGCCACGAACAACAAACATAGAGACAAGGTAATTTCCAGTAGTGACGAGAGAAACAAATAAAACAGAATGGCTTACTAGAGATGTATGGGGACAGGGGTTTGCACTTTTGATTAAAGGGTGGGGGACAGCAAAGACCCCTCTCTCTAAGAAGGTGATATTTGAGCTGAGAATGGGACAGACAAGAAATGATCTGGGGAAAAGTGCTCCAGACAGATGGAACAGCAAGTGCAAAGGCCCTGGGATAGGAAGAAGCATAGGGTGTTAGAGGCCAGTGTGGCTGGATGGGAGTGAGTGAGGGGGCTCTGTAGGAGGTGAGGTCAGGGAGGTGAGCAGGGGCTGATGCTTGCAGCAGGCTTTGCTGGCCACGCTGAAGAGTGCAGATTTTATCCTAAGAATCCGAGAAGTGGAAAATAGACTGTGTGGAAGCAAGAGTGGAAGCCCAGAGGAGGTCATCCAGGTGAAAGATGGTGTTGACTGCACTAGAAAAGTGGTGGAAAAAAGAAGAAAGAGATATCTCTGGGGGAACCTTTGAAATAGAACAGAGAATTGCTAAGAAATTGGATATAAGCAGGAGAGGAAAAGAGAAGATGAGGATGACATCAAGGTTTTGGACTTGAGCACCTGGAAGGATGGAGTTGTCATGAGCTGAGAAGGGGAAGATTCGAGAAGAGCAGGTTTGGGGAATGATCAAGTGCTCAGTTTTGGACACGACGGTTTTGAGGTGCTTATGGAGACGTCTGGAAGGCAGCGTGGATATGGATATGGATATGAGCCTGCAGTTCAGGGGGAAGGCTAAACCTGGGTGTCTTCAGTGCGTAAAACCTCAGACCTTTAAAACGCGGAGACTGGATAGGACCACAAGGGGGTGGGTGTGGACAGAGGAGCGCAGAGCCTGGGGCTGCCTCCCCAAGGGCAAAGGAGACGGAGAAGGAGCAGCAGGGAGGTGGGCAGAAAACTGGGGAGTATGGGTCCTGGAAGCCAGCAAAGAAGAGAATCTGCAGGAGGGGGGATCAGCCAGATCACACGCTGCTAAGAGACAAGGGAGACGAGAGGGGCCAAGACAGGGGAGAAGCGAGGGAAGAAGGACTAGGCGGGGGCTTCAGGCCCTGCCGTGGCTGCGTCCCTCCAGCAGGCCCTGGAGTACCTGGACCACCGGCTGAGTGCGAAGGTGAAGCAGCTGAACGCTCTGCGGCACCAGGTGGTGCTGCGGCACAAGTGGCTAGAAGAGCTGCAGCTGCAGCACAGCCTGCGCGAGCTGGAGATGGCCGAGGCGCAGGATGGCAACACGGAGGTGGCCAAGGTGGGGCCAGTGAGGTCCGCGGGGACTTGATCCCGGGCAGGGACCGAAGGGGGAGGGGCCTCAGCGCAGCCTCGCATCCCTCTAGACCATGCGGAACCTGGAGAACCGCCTGGAGAAGGCCCGGATGAAGGCAGAGGAGGCGGAACGCATCACCAACGTGTACCTGCAGCTCAAGAACTATCTGCAGGTAGGGAGCAGGACAGCCTGCGGGGCGAGCAGGCAAGTGGGAGGGGCAGCCTGGCCAGGGACGGCGGTCACAGGCCTGCCCCACCTCGCACGCCCCAGGAGGAGAGCCTTCACTTGGAGAACCGGCTGGACTCCATGGAGGCCGAGGTGGTGAAGACCAAACAGGAGGTGGAGGAGCTGCACGTGGTGAATCAAGAGGCGCTCAACGCCCGGGACATCGCCAAGGTGCCAGCCCGCGGCCCCTGGGGGCCTGCCCAGCCGCCGTGGTCTCCTGGCCCCGGATTCTGAACCCGGCTGTCCCCGAGCCCCTCCCATCTGTCTCCCGGGAGCCTGCAGCCTGGCCCCGCCGTCTAGAGTCGGGCCGCGGCTGCAGCCCTGAGCCGCGGTGGGTGCCAGCTGGTCCCGCTGTTCCCCTGCCCGCCCGTCCTCCAGAACCAGCTGCAGTCTCTGGAGGAGACCGTGTTCCGAGAGCGCAAGAAGCGCGAGCGCTACTTAACCGAGTGCAAGAAGCGCGCGGAGGAGAGGAAACTGCAGAACGAGCGCATGGAGCGCAAGGTGGGCGCGCCCGGGGGTGCGGGGCTGCCGCCCCAGCGGGGGCCTGGCCACGCCCCTACGTAGCGCCGCACCCTGTACCCTTCCCCACCCCTGACGTTTCTCCTGACTCTGCCTCCATTGATGCCAGTGTCCCTCCCACATCCCTGACCCCGCGCTCCCTTCATCTGACTCCCCTGCGGGAGGAGTCTCCAGCCCTCCTCCTACTCGGGGGTCGGTCTCCATCCTTCCCCACCTGACTTGGCCCCCGCGTCCGAATCTAATCTGGCCTCTAGCCCGCCCCCTGCCTGTAGGCCACGCCCCCGCGCTGGTGACCCCGCCCCTCTGCGCTGCCTCTGAGGCCGCCCGGCCCTGACCGAGGCCCTGTCCCGCACGCCTGACTCTGGCCTGGGTGCCCTTACCTGGCCCCAAGCCTTTGTCGTGGCCCCCAGTCCAGGCCCCGCCCCCTCCCTGACCCCTGTCCCGATACCCCTCCCGGCCTCCGCCCTAAGCCCTGGGCACCGAGCTGACCGCGGCCCTGACCTCACCCCGCGAGCAGACCCAGCGCGAGCACGTGCTGCTGCAGTCGGACGATACGATCCACGAAAGCCTGCGCGCCAGGGAGGAGGAGCTGCTGCGGCGCTGGAGCACGTACCAGATGGAGGTGCTCTTCGGCAAGGTCAAAGACGCCACCGGCGTGGCCGAGACGCACGTGAGTGCCGCCCGCACCCTCCCCTCCCCAGCCGCCCGGGGAAGCCGGCACACGCAGCCTCCTCTGTCTGCCGGCTTGACTCAGCACACAGACCCGCGCTCTTCTGAAAAGACACCCCCCGGACATCCAGAACCTCCTCCAGCTACTGCCGCGTTTCTCTGCTGCCCCTCACGAGCTGTCTACACTCCCCATCGATCCCTCTCCTCTGTTCGCTCTGACGCGGGCGTTGGCTTCTTTGGCACATCAGCTGTGCCAGGATTGGGGGTTTTGTTTCTCCTGTGTCTCCAGCGCCTGTAACATGGTCTGGGCACAGGAGACTGCCCAGTGGCACCCTCAGGGCAAGCCGGACCCCTGCCCTGCAGCGGCTTCCTCGAAATTTTCTAAGACCCTTATGTCCTCCGCCTGCAAACACCGATCCCACTGGACCCCAGGCCGATTTCTCCCCTTGGGGCCTCTCCCACCCACAACTCCTCCCATGGGGTGGCCCCGAGGAGCTCCGAGCCTCGGACCTACGGGGTCATCTGGGGCACTGTGGCTGGGCGCCTTTCCAGAAACAGGCCTGGTGGGCGGATGGCTCACGGGATTGGGCGATAAAGAATGTTGCTGGCACGTTGATTTTGGAAAGCGGCTGTGTCTACTGGTACCCTGCCCTGCACGCTGATTTTGGCTGATTCAAATTCCCCATATAGACAAGGAAGGGGCCTGCAAAAATTATTTGCCCAGGACTGCACGCCTTTGAGGCAGCCCTGAGTCCGACTCCCTGAGTCCCTAAACATCGCTGTGCAGAAGCCACCCGTCCTGTGTGCCCCAGCGGAAGGAGGAGCGGTGCGCCCAGGCCTCCCCAGGCCCTGGCTCTGACTGCGGCTGGGTGGCCCGCAGGCGGTGGTGCGGCGGTTCCTGGCGCAGGGCGACACCTTCACGCAGCTGGAGACGCTCAAGAGGGAGAACGAGCAGGAGCTGGTGAGACTGGAGCAAGAGAAGCAACGGCTGCAGCGGGAGCTCGAAGACCTCAAGTACTCGGGGGAGGCCACGCTGGTGAGGTGAGGCCGCGGTGGGCCCCAAGGGAGAGGGCGGGGGCTGCGGGGTGGGCAGCGCTCCCACGGCGACCTCCCCGCTCCCTGCAGCGAGCAGAAGCTGCAAGCCGAGTTGCGGGGGCGCCTCAAGGCGGAGGAGCAGCGGCTCACCGAGGCCCGGGAGCAGTTGGAGCGCGCGCTGCGGGCCATGCGGGTGACCAAGGAGGGCCTTGAGCACCTGGCCGGCAAGCTGCACCACGTCCCCGTGGCAGGCCCCGCCCCCGAGGAAGCCCCGCCCCAAACCTCCCAGGACCCAAGTGGCGGCGCAGCCACTCAGGTGGGGTTCCCACCATATAGCACACTCAAGGGGGACATCAGAGGCCCGCCTGCAGAGGAAGCCCCTCCCCATGTCCCGAGTCCCCAAGGGGCCCAGGACTTGAGACCCCGTCCCTTCCCAAGTCCCGCCCCCATGGGAAGGTCCCATCTTGCCCCCTTCTAAAACCTGAGAGACCCCGCGCCAATCCTGGAACGGCCTGAGACAGGAGAAGCCCCACCCTGCCCGCAGCAGAGTCCCATTTTTCATAAGGTCATCCCCGCAAAGACTTCTCTCGAGTTATTACCCCGCCACCACTGGTCTTGGGTCCCTGGAGTTCAGAGGCTCTGCCCCCAGAGGCGTGGCCCTTGCTCAGAGACCCCGCCCCACGGAGGATAGCACCGCCCCCGTTGGGGCCCCTCAGCTCGAAGCCCCGCCCTCGGGTGGCACCTGCTCCCAGAGGCCCCGCCCCCCGGCTGACCCGGCTCCGCCCCTGGGCGCAGGAGGCCGGCCGCTTGGCGGGAAAGGAGCTGGATCCCAAGGCGGGTGACTATCTGCCGAAACTGCTGAGCCTCGTGGAGGAGAAGCTTCTGAAGCTGCAGGCGCAACTCCAGAGCCACGACGTGCCGGAGATGCTGCGCCACGTCGCCGACCGCGAGGTGCCCAGGCCGCCAGGGGCTGGGGCGGAAAACCGGGGAGCCGGGGGCAACCCTCGGGAGACCAGGGAGGGGGCCGGTGGGTCGGGAAGGGGCCTTAGGGTCAACAGGTGAGGTTTGAGGAGCCAGGGATGAGCTAGGTGAGCTTCCCGAGGACACAGCTCGGGGGATCAGGGGTCGGGGCTCGAGGGGCCAAGGGGGGCGCCTAGAGACCAGGGGCGGGCCGGGGGTAGGGGGGGGGACAAGGAGGTGGGAGTGGGTATCAAGGTGCGCGCTGAGGAAGAATGAAGGTTTTGGGCCTGAGAAAAACTAAACAGGAGGAGTGGGCACAGGTGCCGAATGGAGTCAGGTGTATCCCGGAGGGGGATGGGCAGGAGGGGGAACGTGACTTCCCTGCAGCCCGTGCCCCGCCCTCATGCTTCTCTCCCGCCCCCCCTCCCAGTTCTACTCCAGCCTAGAGGGAAAGCTGCCCGCGTACAACATCCGCATCGCCCTGCCCCTTTCCACTCCCAAGGACAAGTTCTTCGGTCAGTGCGGGCAGGGGAACGGGGCGGGGCTGGGAGCCCAAGCCGAGCATCCGGAGGTGGTCCGAGGCCGGGCCTGGGGCCGAAGTGGGGGTGGGGTCGGGTGGTAAAGGCTGGGAAGGGACCTCTGCGGCGGGGACGGGAACCTGGATGCACCCGTCGCCCTCCGCAGACGAAGAGGAGAGTGAGGACCAGGACAACGACGTGGTGACCCGCGCGGCGCTCAAGATGCGCTCCCAGAAACTGATGGAAACCCGCACCAGAAGGCGCAGCCGCTCGCGGAGGTCCTAGACTCGCCCTCGCGCCCACCTGGCGCCTCCGGGCCCCTGTGGAGCCCCCGACCCCTCTGGGCCCAGCCGCGCGGGCCCACGGGGCCCCTTCAGGGCTGACCGCGGCCGAGACGTGGGAGGGAGCGGGCCGGCGGCGCCCAGAACGGAGAAGGGGGCTGGGCCGCCGGACGTTCCCACAGTAAATCTCCCCAGGCGGGTCCGCGCCGGCCTCGGAATCGCGCAATAAAGGTCACCGACCAGCCCCTTGGGTATTCGCCTCTGCTTGAACCGGCACCGCCCCAAAGACAGCTTGCCCCTCAAACCCAGGGCCACAGACCCAGCCCCCTCCGACCTGGGGAGCGACGACTCCCAACAGCTGGGGACACATGGAGCTCTCCCCGCCCCTCCAGAGAAATGGGCGATACCCCCACACCTGGGGCGCACCAGCCCTCCCCATCTAAGGACAGGGGGCTCTCCGCCTGGGGACGCAGACCTGCCCCCCGCTTAGCTATGCACACTAGCTCGCCCCACCTGGGGACACAGCAAAGAGCCCTCTCCTGGGAGACAGGTGGCCTTGCTCCTGGGCACAGGTTGATACGCGCCTATAGGGAGAGCCGGGACCTCGCCCCTGTGGGCCTGGGCAGGGCGCTGGGGTCCGGCTGGGGGTCTCGGAGAGCCGTGGGTCCCGCCTGCCCTATCCCGCCCCGCCCCCCGCCGTGGGACCTTGGGCAGCCCTTCCTCCCGCTACCACGTGGGCAAGAGGGCGCTTCTAAGTCTTGGAGAGCCCTCTG